GAGAGAGAGAGAGAGAGAGAGACAGAGAGAAATAGGGAGCTGGGAGAAAGAGAGAGAGAGAGAGAGAGAGAGAGAGAGAGAGAGAGAGAGAGAAATAGGGAGAGAGATGGGGAAGAGAAATAGGGAGTGAGAGAGATAGAGAGAGAGCGAGCGAGAGAAAGAGTTAACACACGTTCGGTTCTGTCATATGTAAGCGTACTGCAGTATATTACACAGCAGTATCGGTCTCCCCGTGTCAGCACTATATAGAGCCGCTATTCGTCTCCAATCAGGATCGACGCTCTGTCACCTACGGTTATCCCAAATTCATGGTCAGATACCTGACGTATAAATTAGTATATCGTTGAACAAATTATCACAATTATTATTCAGTCTGCGCGAGGCATTGGGGAGGAATACGTAATTAATTGGACGTCTTCGTCGCTAATGATTTTAATAGAACCCGGGAGGTGGGGGAGAGAAATCATTTTCGGTTCGTTATTTCGTCTGCCATGGTGGGCTGCAGTGTTTATTTCGCGATACTCTCCGTCGCGTTACTTTGCCGATATAAGTGCAATAAATAACACGTGAGTTCTTATCTCTGTCGCCAATCTTCAATCAATTGTACGGGGGGTAAAACACGTTTATCTATCGCTTCCGTAAATGTTACCGTGTAGATATATATCGATCCCAATAAATTACACACTCAAATCTCAATCACACAAACTCGCCCACCATTTCCTGGAGAATTTCGGATATTTCTGTGGAATACCGTATTTGTATATTGTGTAATCAATTTCTCGATTAATTAAATTGTAAATAGACTAGTATTTTTTAACATAAATGGTATTTGTGTACGTAAACCATATTCATGAATATTTATTTCAGTATTCTGCTGCTTAAAAATATTATGCCACCTTACGAGGCCATAAACCTCCAAAATATATACTCAGTTGACATTTTCATCTTTACCTAGAAAACTTTGTGAACGGAGCGGTGGCTTACAAACCTCCACCGGCGGTAGAGGTGACGATTTCTGCGGTGGACACGCCCTCGCCTTCCGTACCCAGCCCCACCCACAAAGACACAGATGCAGAGGAGAAACCTCGTAAACCAGCCATCGCACAGGTAAGCGGTTCACCTCGTAAATATAAGGGAGACTTTTACTGCACGTGTTTTAATATCGCATGCGGTGGTTCCTCTCTCCTCTTGCCCCAACCACTACTATTAGGAATGTATTTTGCGTGTGTTAAGGTTGTCCTATGTGACATCACTGTATCCCCCGCGACGAAGTCGGCGGGGATACTATGGTTTCATGTCTCCCCAGCCGCCGCCGCCGCCGCTCGGTCCGCCGCAGAGAATTTCCCTTCCGCTCTATAACTCGGCCCCTAATTGACCTAGCGCTACCAAACTTGGTATACTTACACATCTTGGGGAGAAGGTGAGCAGCGTACCAAAACCAGGTCACTGCGACCTTTACCTTGATCTTGATCATATTTCCCTTCCGCTCTCTAAAGCCTAGCACACACATCTGAGCAAAACGGGAAATTTTGTTTTCCAGCGTTTCGCGTTCTGCTCGGCGAGCAAGCGCACACACGCCACCCGACACAGCACACAGCTGAGCAAAACATACAGAAACACTGTGTACAGCGCCGCTGTCACATGACATCAAAAATAGCCATCCAATGGACATCCAATTTTTTGTGTCATGTGATATTTTTACGGATATTGATTGGAGACCGTCTGTGGCGTTTCGCTGTGTAGCAGAACGATTGACGCACACACCCGAGCAAAACGTACGCTCAGGCGAAAACACGCTCCGCGAATCAAACATTGCTTGTTCAGCGAAACACGCTCAGCTGAGCAATGTTTTTTGTTTTGGGAATCCGCACACAGCCACGAACATCGAGCGAAACACGTTTTGCTCCACGTTCAGGTGTTTTGCTCGGGTGTGTGCGTTATGCTTAACTCGGCCCCTAATTGACCTAGCGCTACCAAACTTGGTATACTTACACATCTTGGGGAAAGTGCGACAGGTACCAACTCACTGCCACCTTTATTTGACCTTTATAATATATATAATATATAATTATAATATATATATATATATATATATATATGCATCGCGTCAACATGGCGTTACAATCTGTCGTCTTTACGCATAACTGCAGCGATGTTCGCTGTTTATTCCGCGTGACGATGCGTTAGATTTCTCATGCAGATCGTATATGTGAGGTTTCCCGACCATACGTGACGTCAGCGGCATATTTGGCTGCATATATTAGAAATTATAACTGGGCGATGAATTTGCGGATATTTATATATTACCGATTGTATTGCAGTACCCAGAGTTCACTAGTTATTGTAATAAATTACAGCATTTTATATATATATATATATTATATATGTATATACAATGCTGTAATATATATATCATATACGTCGCGTAACTGTACACACATGTAACATTCAACACCAGAATGCTATATAGATTTTTTCAGCATTACTCTATTCATTACTGACACAATTATTTCGAGCACAAGTAGCCAGCATTGTTCTCACACACTAACACGATTACATGTTCAAGACATATATACTTAAGAACGCCACTTCTGATATGTCGCCACTCCTGTTTATCAGGTTTCTCCGTCATTAACTGCGTTAGGGAGCTTAGAGGCGACGTTCCATCTAGAGACACGAGTCAACTGTGCGAAAGCCGAGAAGTTCAACGACATTGGGCACGGAATGATCATCACAAAATCTGGACGCGTATGTATTACAATAACAAGGTTTTAGTTAGGCATGCATAGTTTGTTTCTTAGCTGTGGTGAATATGAGATTTATATAATCTATTGAATCTAATTCTTTTTTTTTCCATTCGTTCTGCTTCATTCGTTCTCTTATATAATTAATTAATTAATTCAGCTATCATTAATATAGTCGCTATCTTTTGCGTTATAATCCACTGACACAAATTACACCCAGTCATTCACTCATCTAACCACTCTCATTTTGCTTCGTTATCTGGAATAACAATGAATAAATCATACTATATATAATATATATATATATATACTATATATACTGTATCGCTCTATAAACCGCCAACAGTAATGAACATGTGTATCTCATGTAATGCTACCCTAAGAAGAATGAGAGAGCGAGTGCCGAAAAAGAGAGGTATAAATAAAACAAAGAACGAAGACGAAGAGAGAGGAAGAAAGAGATGGCCAAGAGCATAAGAAAGGATAGAAAAGAAATACAGAGCAGAGAAAGAGACGAGAGCCAGACGAGAGAGCGAACGATAGAGAGAGACATCAAGGTAGAGACGCAACTAGATGGAGACAGCTCTTGAGCCCTATCCGAGGAGAGCATGCAGAATAGCTCTAATAAAATTAGAACACAAAAATGTGCACAAGCGAGCAATCGCGTGGGCTGTCGGAATGCAACACACGCATTGTCGTCGGGCCCCCCGCGCGACGGCGATACACTCAAGCGTCGACAAACACGACACGTCGATTGCGACCATTGTTGTTTTTTGCTCGGCTATTGCCGGGATGACGGGCGGACCGGCCGCTCAGTCCAGCCATCCATCCCGCTTTCAGCCTGGTAAATGCGCCGCGACTCGCTATTTTCAACAGTAAATGGGGCGCGAATTTGCTTCGGCCGACTGCAGCGTGACGAGAAAATGTGTGTAGAGATGACGGAATGCTATTGATGAGAATTCCTTTCTGAAGCCTCGTCATTTCGAGCTGCGACCGGCGGGGAGTTACCTGTACTACGCGGATAGCTAGCAGATCTCGTCGAGTATACGCCAGATTAGCATCACTTTGACTGTACTGCTACTAATAGATTAAAACATTAATTATTAATATTATTATATTATTAATATTGATAATGAAATCATTATTGTATAAATTAATCGCTTAACCATTTGTGAGAAAAATCCTATAATAATCCTAATAATAATCCTATCTACTAGAATGCTCATGCTCATAAAGTTAGGTATATATATATATACTATATATATTTCTTTTTTTTTTTTTCAGCACATACTCACTCGCACACGCGTTCGAAGGCTAACGCGCACATCGCATACGTAAATACATATTATACAGACGCACGCACGCACGCACGCGACGACACGGAACCTCACTACACGCGCTCACAACAATGTCATATCCGTCAGTTAGCATACAGTTACGAGCTTGGCTTATATAACGATTCCTTCAGTCCAAGCATTTGACATGACGTTATATTGCGTATCCATCTTCTAGTAAGTCTCAACATTAAAATCTTTCAACATGCGATAGAGAATCATAATTCGTGTTTGTAAATGTAATGAGTGAGTATTAAGTGATCACTAACGGGGTTGCGAATATCTTCTTTATTTTTTTATTTTTTTGTTGAGTCGCGATGAACTATTATTCTTAGTATCAAACGTCAATTATATATATATATATATATATATATATATATATATATAATATCTACACGACCATGTTATTTTCTTGAATAAAACAATTTAATAATAAAATTATTATTTGAACAGCAAATCTAGAAATTGAGTATATATTGTAATTGCAGTTCCTGTTTGTAATAAATAAATAAATAAATAAATAAATTAAATAAATAAATATATATATATATATTAGCTGCTGTTGTGTCACTCGTCGCGGCGCGTGTGTGTGTGTGTGTCGTGTGTGTGTGTTGTGTGTGGTGTGTGTGTGTGTGTGTTGTGTGTGATGTGCTACTGTCTTGTGTGGTCGTGTGTCGTGTGTGTTGTGTGCGCTGGCTTGCGTGCTCGCGTGCGTGCGTGTTATTCTTGCCATTGTGTATCTCTGAATGTAAAAATAGCGCGTACGAATTGATAAATATACGCAGCTGATATAAAAATTATTACTCTCAAGAAACAACGGAAAACGGATATAACATTGTTGAAAGTATGTCATGGCTGCATACATAAATTACGTATAGGTGGCGCCCATACTACGCAGCCTATCCATTATAATTCACTCGATCAACTATCGCATTATAAACATGTCTTGCGCACAGAGAGATAGAGGGGGAGAGGAAGGAGTGGAGGAGGAAGGAGAGAGAGGAGAGTGAGAGGTGGAGAGTGATGAGCGGTCGGGGTGAGAGGTTGATGTAGTGGAATGGTTTAGGAGGGAGAGAGCGACGAGAGAGAAGAGAGAGAAAAGAGAGAGGACGAGAGAGAGAGAGAGAGAGAAGAAGACGAGAAATGCACGAGGAGAGAGAATCCGATGGGGAGCCGCGGACCGCAGAGACACACGAGAGAGAGAGAGAGGAGGGACAGAGAGATGTGCGGGGGGGGGGGGAAGAGTGAGAGAGTAGAGAAGAAGAAAGAGAAGGAGGAGAAGAGAGAAAGAAAGAGAGAAGACGAAAAGAGAGAAAGGAGAGAGAAGAGATGAGAGACGAGTGGCGAAGAGCGATTGAGCAACGAGAAGAGAGAAAGACGAGAGAGAAGAAAGAGAGAGACGAGAAAACGAGACAAGGGAGAGAGTATAGGAGAGAGAAGAAGAGTGAACGAGAGCAGAGAGGAGGAGAGAGGGATACCGAGAGGAGAGAGAGAGAGAGAAGAGAGGAGAGAGAGAGGAAAGAGACAGAGAGCAGAAGAGACGACGATTCCGGGAATGGAGAGATGAGAGAGACGAGGACGATGAGAGAGAGAGGAGAGGAACAGACGAAAGAGACGAGAGAGAGAGGAGAAGTCGAGAGAGTGAGAGAGACGAGGAGACGATGAGAGGAGAGGAGAAGAGGACAGAGGAGAGAGGAGAAGAGACGAGCGAGAGAAAGAGAGAGAGAAGACGATGAGAGTAGAGATGAGACGAGAGAGAAAAACAGAGAGAGAGAGAGAGAGAGAGACGACGATGAGAGAGAGAGAGAGAGGGAGAGAGAGATTAACGAGGAGGAGATACGACACGCGTACACGCCGAGAGAAAAGCAACACACACACACACACACACACACGCACACACACACGCAACACGCACACACACACACACGCACACACGCACGCACACAGCACACACACACACACACACACACACACACACACACGCACACACACACACGACAACACACACACACACGCACACACACACCACCACACACACACACACACACACACACACACACACATACACACACACACACCACACACACACACACCATACACAACACACACACACCAACACACACACACCACACACCACACACACACACACACGCACGCCACGCACGCACGCACGCACGCCGCCGCACCATAACATCGATTTCTCTCCGTGAACAACACTGTCGTACATGACTGCCGGCCACATCGTCGCTGCGTTTAGCCGTAGATCAAAGACCGGGCTCGTTGATGCAACGGTTGAATAATTCGGAGATGTTCTTAAAGATAAAGAATTGTTTAAACGCGGGCAGAGCGCCTTTGATCTTGCCCGCCTGAGCGCCCGCACTGGGTGCGGAACTGCATCTTAGAAACAGCCGTGTAAGGACATGAATCTTTTGCGCGGCAGTTGTGAACGTCACAACATCCTAGCGTTGTCGACAGAAGACACACCTGTTCTGTTGTCATGGAAACAAGCGAACCAGTGGCATCTCATTCGCGCAGTCGAAGGTTGCCTTCCTGGTATAATAAATAAATAATAAATAAATAAATAATATATGAATAAGAGAATAAAGAAATAAGAAATAGATCATTGAGTAACATGAATTATTAAAAAAACAAATACTTAACAAATACATATGTACGCACGCACGCTCGTACATACACGTTGACGCACGCACATTACGTACACCCTTACACCATTACACACGCGCGCGCGCCTACATCACAAATATTATCAACGTCATAATATACATATAATAGGTCTAATATGAAATAATATGCAAACTCAAGCATAGCCAAATAAGATTGCCACTTAATTGCAATCGTAATAGATGACAGCGAAACGACAGGGATATTTTATAGCTAATATATATAAGCTTGCTAGTAGCAAAACACGTCCTGTACGTGGCAAACGTGATATCTGTACATGTATGCACCAACAAATTCGTTCCGGCGAACTAACAAACCCATGAACGTAATATTTATTGATGTACATTGCTCACAAAGGGACCCTAAAAAGGATAGAATTCATAATAATTTTTGACGTTAATAATATTATCGACAAAAATATTATTCCCTCGCAAGTCTTTTATTTCACTATATTTTATTATCTCCGCTCAAAAATATTCTATTGCTGTATAGATTATTGATACAGTTTAATTTTAACGCAATAAAATAAAAACCACACTTAATTAATGTATATCGGTTTACGTACGCAGCAACTGGGTTTTGTATTTAGCCACTTCCATAAATACATAAATGAACATACACACAACATATATGATAGTATATATATATAATTATATATATTAAATAATATATATATATATATAATATATTATATATATATAGTTAATTTGCCTTTTAACAGAGTTTTGATTTACAGTTAAATTACCGTCGCCATTCTGTCATGACTAATCAGACCATGTTTGCGTGCGCGCCTGGGGACAAGATCACATCTGCTGCTCTCTGGCGGTCGTTAAACGTTACAGTAACGACCACGCGTACACTAATATATGTGCTTATTAATTAAATTATTCAATCTCGTAAAATCAGCACAGAAAACATACCCTTTGCGTTCTATAAATATCGGTAATTATCACCGGGTGTTAGAACGAAGCGACGGTCTCATATCAAGCAGTATAGCATCCTTAAATTCATTCGCATTGAAGAAAAATACATTACTCGCATTATCTTCAATACTAAAGCGTAGAATTGTAATGCAATATAATTTTTATACCTACAATGTCATCACTAATATATAACCAGCAGCGTATTAAGTATTAAGTATTAAGCATTAAGTATTAAGTATTAAGTATTAAGCATTAAGAAATACGCTCTTGATATAATCTTGTGCTTGCGCTTGTGTATGCGCATGCGTATTTGTGTTTTTTTTTCTCGATCGCCGTCCTATTATTTATGCCCGGTGCGTATTGGAAAGAGTTGGATAATCCGCTTTCAAAATGATCGTATCAAGACGCAAACGCTGTCATTACGGTATTCCTCCGAACGTAATATTCTTCTTCTAAAATACTAAGCCAATGTAGACGAAATGATAACTCACACGAAACGTACGACAAAGACGACAATATTATTTTTTATCCAGATTTAATAATCTCAAAGTAGCACCACACCCGCGCGTTTTAGTAACTAGAGAACCAATCAACGCTCCTGAATTTTTGCTGGAATACCTGGCACTTGCCAGCCTTGAAGCCATGACACAGCACATATACGCACATAGACGCATCATATACGTCAGCCGTCCTGACATAAGCGAACACAAGCTGCTAATCCGGCATTTTAAAATGGCGGCTGATTCTCACGCCTCTCTCTCGCTTTCTCTTGCTTTCTCTCTTTCTCCCCATCTCTTTTTGGTTCTCCTTATCCGTCTCTCGTTCCTTCTCTTTGTACCCCTCTCCCTACCTCCCCCTCTCTCTCTTTCTAGTTCTCCTTCCTTCTCTGTCGTTCCTCCTCTTTCTCATTCTCTTCCTCGGTCCCTCTTCCTCCCTCTCTCTAACCCCTCTCTCTTAAACTCTCTCACTCATCTCTCTCCCTCTCTCTCCCTTTCCCCTCCCCCTCGTTCTCTTTCCTAAGCCGCTACACTGTCGTTCCATCGTTGACTCTGTAATGTGATTACGTGTCGAGCGTAACTTCGCTCGCGGCTGGCCGCCCCACTTTGTCTAATTGGTTAATTGTTGGGTCGGGCAGATCGCGCACCGCTATCGGCGTTGATCGGGGCTTTGTTGCGCGGGGTTCCCCGCTGTGCGAGCACGGGCGACCCTTTATGCGCGCTCTCTCACCCAACACCTTCCCATATGGGCGCCGAATGCATCCCCGGGTCGAAAACACGCCACCAGCGCAGTGTTTACTGGTGAGAAAAACGCCGCTGTGTGTGCGTGCGTGCGTGCGCGTGCGTGCGTGCGTGTGTTCTTAACACGCGTTGCCGGATAGAAAGGGTTACGTTATCTCGCGTTGTGCTTTTGTTATTGGTGGCGTGTGCACGGCGTGCAGTCGGTATATCTAAGGAGAACTACAAAGATATGAGTAATTAATCTGGAGATTAAAGTTAAGTCCCTAGCCCGTAGCAATTAGTGATTAAAGCAAAAACTTTAGTGAAACACAAAAGAATCGTAGCTTTTTGACGCGACGTTATTGTCTTGAACGCTTCGGTCGTTGTTAGATAGACGTGTGGGAAAAATATTTATTAGGTTTGAAAATATTAGGTGACGAGAATAACAAGAAAGAAGTCAAGAAATAATTAAATAAATATAAATATACATAATGAGCCTGATATTGGGTGGGTGAATGGGTGGATGGATGGATGGATGGATGGATGGATGGATGGAGTCATTGCTGTCTCTCTCTCGCCTATTTTCTTCGTTCTTCTTACTCTCTTTCTCTTCCTTTCTCTCCCCCATTTTTGCTCACTTCTCCCACTCTTCGCTCTCCCCTCGATGCCTCGTCTCTCCTTCGCTTGATCGCACCGCTTCTCTAACATGACCGTAAATTCAGTATCGGCGCAGCAGACCTGAGCGATGCCGTCCTGCATGGTGACGCGGTCGGTGTGACGCGGCATACACCGCCAGACGCCGCAGCGACGGTCCGCAAATCAGGCGTGCTTGCATGCAGACGAAAAACTCATGCGAAGGGATCATGCATGTACGTGCGTGTGTGTGCGCGCGCGCGTGTGTGTGTATACGTGCGTGCGTGCGTGCGTGCGTAAGGGCGTGTGTGCGTGCATGCGTGCGCACGATATATCACACTTGACTTGTTGCTGAATAATACTTTATTATTATACTCGATATATATAAATTTATATATTAATGCTGTCGTGGTTACATTAGTAAATCAACTAAAATAAACCGAATCAGACTGAAATGCTCAGTAAACTAAACCACGTAGCAAACTTAAGACCTAATTAATATGATAATAGAGGTTCATGCTATATGCAGTGATACGACAGACGTGCGTGCGTGCAGTGATTAATGTGATACTTTCAGTAAGACGACATATAACTATAGTCAGGAAACGCAATAGAGCGAACGAGATGGAGAGAGGCTTGAGCCCTATCCCGAGTGAGAGCATGCAGAATAGGCTCTAATAAAATTAGAAACAAAAATGTGCACAAAGGAGCTAATCGCGTGGGCTGTGTCGGATGAACACACGCATTGTCGTCGGGCCCGCGCGACGGCGATACACTCCGTCGACAACACGACACGTCGTCTGACGACCATTGTTGCGTTTTTTGCTCGGCTATTGCCGGGGATACGGGGGCGGACCGGCCGCCAGTCAGCCATGCCATCCGCGCTTTCAGCCGGGTAAATGCGCGCGGACTCGCTATTTTCACACGTAAATGGGGGCGAATTTGCTTTCGGCCGACTGGGCAGCGTTGACGAGAAAGATTGTGTGTGAGAGATGACGGGAAGGCGTATTGATGAGATTCATTTTTAGAAGCCTCCGTCATTCGAGCTGCGAACCGGCGGGGAGTTAACTGTACTAGCGGATAGTAGAGATCTCGTCGAGTATACGCCAGTGATTTTAGCATCACTTTGACGTGTACTGCATACTAATAGATTAAAACATTAATTAATAATTATTATTATATTATTAATATTGATAATGAAATCATTATTGTATAAATTACATCATTTTATATATATATATATATATATATATATACAATGCTGTAATATATATATCATATACGTCGCGTAACTGTACACACTGTAACATTCATACACCAGAATGCTTATATAGATTTTATTAAGCATTACTCTATTCATTACTGACACAATATTTCGAGCAAGTAGATGCATTGTTACTCACAACTAACACGATATCATGTTCAGATATATATTATGAACGCACTCTGATATTTGCGACTCCTGTTTATCAGGTTTCTCCCGTCATTAATGGCAGTAGGGAGTTAGAGGCGGTAACGTGCCATCTAGAGACACGAGAACTGTGGAGCAAGTTCAACGACTTGGGCACGGAGATGATCATCACAAAATCTGGACGGTATGTATACCAATAACAAGTGTTTTTAGTTAGTGGATTCATAGTTTGTTTCTTAGTGCTGTTGAATATGATATTTATATAATCATTGAATTAATTCATTCGTTTGTTCATTCAGTGTTTCTTATATATTCATTCATTAATTCATCTATTCATTAATATATTCGCCTATCTGGGTGTAATCCACTGACACAAAATACACCCAGTCATTCACTCATTAACACACTCTCATTTTGCTTCGTTTATTAGAATAACAATGAATAAATCATATATAGCAGAATACCATGCAGACGAAAAACTCATGCGAAGGATCATGCATGTACGTGCGTGTGTGTGCGCGCGGCGCGTGTGTGTGTATACGTGCGCGTGCGTGCGTGCGTAAGGCGTGTGTTCGTGCATGCGTGCGCACGATATATCACACTTGACTTGTTGCTGAATAATACTTTATTATTATACTCGATATATATAAATTTATATATTAATGCTGTCGTGGTTACATTAGTAAATCAACTAAAATAAACCGAATCAGACTGAAATGCCTCAGTAAACTAAACCACGTAGCAAACTTAAGACCTAATTAATATGATAATAAAGGTTCATGCTATATGCAGTGATACGACAGACGTGCGTGCGTGCAGTGATTAATGTGATACTTTCAGTAAGACGACATATAACTATAGTCAGGAAACGCAATTCCGTACGCGTCGGTAAACGACACCTCATACACACACACACACGCACGCA